TGCAAATTGTATGTGTGGTGTGAATTTAAAAAAGAATCATTTGGTAGGACGAAATTTCGTTATGCTTATGGCATCCTCAATAGTAGTGGTTTTTGAGATGTCAATTACGTTAGAGAGGAGGGAGAGAAGAAGGAAAAATAAAAAAAATAAAAAAATCTGACGCATTGCAGAAACGAAGAAGAAGAAGCAAGCCTCTCGATGCGCCAGTCGGCGCGTGCACTGCAGCACCCGACTGGGCAATGTCTGTGCGCAAAACGCACAAGAGTAGTTCTACATGTACTCCCAATTCATACTCCCATTTTGTACTCCCTATGATTTGACATGCTTTGATTGCTCAATTTTATAGGGGCCATGATGTTTATCCATTTCTTTGTTTCATCCTTCAATCAAATTTAGACACAAGTGAAAGTAAAAGTTCGGAGTAAAGTTTTGAAAGTACATCAAGTATTTTTCAACGCACAAAAACTAAGCACCTCTTTTTTATTTTTCTCTCTCCTACGAATCCCACAAAAAATACCCATTGCATGACATTCCTAAATTTCTCTCTCATCCCTCACTTCTTCACATCACCAATGAATTCACTAATGTGGATGCTCTTAAAAGACAAACAAGATAAAAGAAAGTGCTATTACAATTTACAAGGATAAAAAACTCAGAGTCATGATTCATGACGCATTGGTAATTATTGTAATGTAAGACTTTTACAAATTGATATTTTGGATTGTTTGGATTCCGGATTTTATTTGAGTGGAGATAGAGAAAGACAGGTCATGTGTTATGTACTTGCGTACCGTGTACGTGTGTAACAGTTTTTTTTTTTAAACACGTGTGTAACAGTTAAACATTTAGAAATGAAAGAGACACTTTAGCCCCAAATAATGGTTTGTCCTAGTCTATTTGACACTTATTCCTTTTATTTTTAATAGACATGAATAGAATTATTCAAAATTTTAATTATAGTGTTTGATGTATATAGTAATTGAAAGGAAATAAGTACTAAGTAGTATAAAAATCAAAATGCTTATGTGATTGTAATTTCTATGGAAAGATGTCCGATTATTTGGAAGGTAATTTGGATTTTTCCTTGAGTGAATACCGCCCCCACTATAAGGGAGCAACTTGGTGCCAGTGGACTACAATGTATTTCTTACGGCAATCTGACCACAAACCTGTATTCCTATGTATTATGAAATTGCAATTCCTCAAATTTGAGGAATTATAATTCTATAGAATTGCAATTTATCCCAACTAAATTCTGGAAGTTTTCACTTCTTGAAATTTAGTGGAAAGGAAATTCCTCCCTACTAAACATGCCATTCTTTCTTGAATAACTTAGACTTTCTAACTTTGTCAAATTATATCTTGCATTCTAAGTAGTTAGTGAAACATATTCCTTAAAAACTGGTTTTATGGGAACCTTAATTAGCTTGTAGAGACAGCACATGAAGACCAAAGACATTCTCACTGGTTCAATTCATTAATCATGGAGGTTCAGTTCTGGCATTGAATCCCTACTCTACAAACCAAAACTCAAAGAAGCAGTTATCATGCTTACTAGAGGAACCGAGATGTTGTCGTCCACAGCTCCGTTGGTCGGGAGAGACTCCACCACGGTTGCCACCAACGAAACCACCACCACTCTTTCAACCGTCGGGATCCAATCCAAGTGAAAGTATCCGAGGGCCGAGAAGTAACACAGCATCCTTAAACCACACAAAAAAAGGGAATGTGTTAGGATGTTTGGTCTTGACTAAAAGATAAGTAATGCATGAGACTATATGTTTAACAGTACCCGAGTGATATCAAGAAACCGAAAACAAACATGGAGATACTACCAGCCCAACTCTTTTGTTGATTGTAAGGAATTTTCACCGACCCAAATCTTCTTCCAACGATATCAGCAACACCTGTAAATGCCAAGGTGAAAAGAAAATTACCCGAGCAGTTCAAATAAGTACACGAATCGAGAGCCTAATCTTGATCTTACCATCTCCACCACACATCATTGCTAGTGAAACCACTCCAACTGGAGATTCGCGCCAGAAGACGACTGCACATAAAATCAGTACCATGACATAGTACAACGGGCCCCGAAGCAGTTCTCTGCAAATGTAAGGAGTGAAAACATTTCAACATGTGCCCTTTAACATGTATTTACAAGGGACGACTTTCAATTTGACCGTAAAAGATAGATTGAAGTTACTCTGGATTTCCTTCCCGAGTGACAGACTTAATGAGTCCTTCATCATCAGCGAACCGAAGGCCATTGACAAGCAGCCTAAGGCAGTTTAGGATGGGGACAATGGAAGCAAAGTAGCGAGCCCCTTTTGACGTGCTAACCTAAGCTCTAAATCGTTAGTAGACAATTGAAGGATATATTATATTTCAACTAAAAACTTAAGCTGATAGTATAAATACATAGTTTACATTTTATATAACCATCTTTTGAAAACACAGTTGATACCTGAAAATAGGCCAGCATGCCATGAAAAGCAGCCCAGATAGTATATGGACCAGCTTCCTGCTTAAACTCTGTTTTGAAAAAAATGGAGCAACATTGCAAAACAACATAAATTCCCAAAACTAAAAAGGTAATGAATTGAATAAATGCATCTCACTGCCAACTATTTTGTTGATGAGATAAACATTGCATTATATATATCAAGAAAGGAAAATAACACTTTTGTCCCCTAAAAAAAAGAAAAGCTGTATACTTTCTCCCGATTTAGCAAAAAGAGCAGAAAAAAAATGTATTATCGCCCCCAGTCTAGAGTAAACAATTATTATTTTTTTTAAAAAAAAAAAAAAAAAGGAGACAGCCTAGCTGCCAGCTTTTACTGCTACATTAAAAAAATCCTAGTACAGTAGTACGACAGTTGGAGGGAGGCCCAATACGTACAGTGAATCCCACTTTGGATTCTGCAATTATTTTTTTATTTTATTATTATTATTTTTTAAAAAACGATTCTGCAAATTCTTAAAAAGTGCAATTCTGCAATATCACTATTGAGATTTGAAAATTAAGGAAAAGTTTTGCACCCTTGCAAAGTGACCACATATTGAATCAATCCATCAAAATTATGAGAATGGAACAGCATAATAACTTTAAAAGGAAGACCAAAAAAATCAGCGAGTGGCGTTTTGATTTTGGGTTCAGAAGAATGAAAATTCAGAAAATTTGAAGGACCAAAAATTCAATTATGTCCATATATGGAAAGCATCTGCTAAGTAGTGCCATAGTCTAGATAGATATAACCTGTAATTGATACCAAAAATGTGAAACCTAGCTAGCTGGGCGGCCAACAATCAATCATTCACATGCAGATATATATATATCTATATATATGCGCATTCAGATTCAGATCAATATTCAATTGTCTACGGTGAAGAGATAGAGAGAACCTGCGGAATGAGATTGCGCTGCGTTAAGCCGTCGAAAGTGGAGACGAGAGCGTATGCTCCGGCGATTGTGAACGCCGTCGCTCCGGCGTCCTGAAACGCCGAGCCATAATCACGCATAACGTCAAAAGCGGCGGCGCCGGCGGTCCATACGGAGCCGCGGGAAGTGTGAAGCGGCTGTAACTGTAATTTAGGTGTGGTCAAGGGGAGGGGGAACTTTGAAGAGCCGATGTGGCATCGCCGGCGGATGTCGGAGTGCAATAAGACGGCGGCGGGCGTTGCCGTCAGATAGCCGGTCTGCATTTCTTTTATTATTATTATCACTTCTTCCTCTGGAGGCTGCTAGGCTCCCTCCCAAATAGATAAACTTAACCAAATTTATTGTCATCCTTGTTAATTAATACTGTAAATTATATAGAACATATGTTACATCGCAATAGAGTGGTTAAAAAAAACAAACTACAATAATAAATAGCGAATCTATTCCAAATCCATTTCACGAGCGACCTTATTAATATAAAAAATAAGAAAAAAATGAATATAATGTTGGAAGTAAAAGGGACAAGAATTGTGACCACGTAATATAAAATTATAAATAGGTAGAGGAACATTATTATCCATTAAAATGAGACGCATACGTATATGATTGGTAGAATGGAGGGGAGTGGGTACTACATCCCTTTACCTTACCTTATGCTTAAAGATGCGCCTCATTCAAGTCTCTGGACTATTGGTTCAAGTTATATAAGATAATTAATGTTATATTTGATTGTGAATATAAGATTCTCAAGTTTAGTTCATTTATGTAATTTTTCCCAAGAATGTTACATAACCTTTATATTAAGTTTTTAGCTATTGAAAAAGAAGGTGAAATACCCTCCAATTTTTTTTAGATAATCTGACATTCCATTGTCTTACTACTAATTTTGAACTTTTGGCATTTTAATCAATTTGTCTTGTTATCGTTGTCTTATTTACATACATTAGTTATTCTCAATAATTTAACATTTCCTAAAGTAATATAACATTCCGTGAATCAAACGCCTGCAGAAAGTAACACACCATCCTTTATTTTATGTTGGGAACAACGTTGAATTTATTTGAAATAGCTCCGATATTGAAACTTGGAAGCTTCATTAAATGTGCAGAAGGGGGGGGACTATTGACATTTCCATCCCACCTACCACATGACTCAAAGTTTCCCAACTTCATATGATCATATCGCTATCTAGTTTCCCAACCACATCATTCAATCTTCTCATTGATTTCCCAATCACATTCACCTCGACCCAAAACAATTTACTCTATCAAGTAACTACCAACTTTAATTTGTGTGAGCTTTCTATCATTTTTCTTGATGTTACTCCACTTTTCTTTTCTTTCTTTTAGTCAATTTATAATGGAGGGTGTTTAGGGGAAAGTTGGAAGCTGCTGGGTGATCTTTTGGCTAGTGATTTTCTCCAAGTAGGAAAGAATGGCAGCTTCTCTAGATGAAGCTAAGACTCTCTGGTTAGCTCTATCGCGTTAGCTTCGCGCTCCAGATTCATCAGTCTTTTTTCTGCTAAGATCTCATCCCATATATATATATATATATATATATATAATGTGCAATCAAAACAGAACATGTCCTTCAATTTATGGAAAACAGAAAAAATAATAATAATAAAACTTTAGGCCGGAGCAGAGGGTTGGGAAGAAAGGTGAGTTTGGGCCTTCATCTCAGCTTTGATAGCTGCAGCCAACTGATCATAGGCTTCAGCCCAAGCTTGTTTCATCTCTTCACTCCATTTCTCCCCCATTGCCTCTTCCACTGTTCTTAGTAGAGCTTCTTTTACAACCTACATACATATGTACCATCAATTCATCATCATCTTAATTATATTATTCAATATGCATATAATGCAGAGAATTGAATTGGACGATAGATCGATCTTACAAATTTGAGAATTAAGATTAGTACCTGAAAGTGAGGTTGAATGACTCCCTTTTGAAGATGAACGGCTCCCAGATGCTTCAGAGTTGTGCCACTAACCACAACTTCACCCTTCTCTCGCAGCTGAACCGCTGAATCACACGTCTGCACTCAACCAAAACGTTTTTTTTTTTTTTTTTTTTTTTTTTAATAATACAATTTAACCAATTTATAGTATATGCTCAACAAATTATGCCGACCCTGAATTGGGATATCTCACTCCCGGTCTCCTCCACCCTAATTTATATTTATATGTTACACAAAAATTGTTACTTACAATTTAACTTTACTATTTATTGGTCGACATTTTGTTTGTCATACTTACTATTCATTGGTCAAACTTTACTATTCATTGATTTTTTTTTTTTTTAATAATATTTTTAGTGTAGTTTCTAAATATATAAATTTTGTATATTATTACTAAACTTAATATTGTAAAAAATTAAATTAAAAATAACTTTAGTCAAGTCTCGTTAATCGAACCAGACACATAAAATGAGACGGAGGGAGTATATATAATTATTTTTATTATTGAATCAAATTTAATTTATATATTAATAAAGATTTTGTTATACATACAATAAGTAGTAAATACAATATGTTAAATAAAATAAGTGAATAATTAATTATATCACAAATAAAATGAGATAGAGAAATAAAATGAAAGCAGGCCAGATAAATGTACAACATTATCCAAAAATAAATAAATGAAGATATATACATACATATATAGTTCCAATGAATGCTTTAATTTCAAGTTTCATCTGAACGCCACGTTCCTTATCAACAAAATTAATAATGGAGCAGCATTTCCGGAAATATCACTATCACTATCTCTTTCCATTAATAGTTTAATTAGGATATATCTTTAATTTTCAGTGCTAGTGAAATTTGTCTATAATATTATATTAAACTTACTATGTATATACATACTAGTTACTATTTTTAGAAATAGCAAGATAGTATTATTATTATTTGAAGAAAATATTATTATTGTTGCAGGAAAATATAAGAAAGAGATGAATTGAACTGACCAACTTGAAGACTATGATAGCATGGGATTTGAGCTTCGGATTGTTCTCAGGAACTTCATCACTGTCCTTCAGGAACGAGAACATATCCTTTGCCGCTGGTGCTATCTCCAGGATTCTATATATGTATATATGTATGTATATACTCCAATTAAATAAATAAATAAAGAAATAATACTTCGTAGAAAATAAATATGATGATACTAACAGACTGAAGAAACGAAAACTGAGTTGAGGAATGTTGTTCTTCATTTCTTGCCATGAATCCTTAACCAGACCCTCTTGCTTCTCTGAGAACCCCATCTATCTTTCCTTTTCTTTCCTTTTTCTCACCAATTCCTATCTCTCTCTCTCTCTCTCTCTCTCTCTCTTTCTTCTTCTTCTTATATATTTGTACTCAATCCCGAGGACAAACAAGACTTTTCCTCTCTCCTGTGTATATAAAATATATGTATAAAGTATCTTGACATGTGAGTGTTACATCCCTCTACTATTGTTGACATGTGAGTGTTTTGTATTGGGTTCCGTATGTTAAATTAAAATTGGACTAGAGTTACTTAATTGGACTATAATACACATGGGTCAAACCAAAATTGAATCTAATAAATTAGTTAATCTAACTCATAATCTTTTAAAAGCATATGATCTCTCTTATTTTATCAATGTAGAACTCTGGATGCTAATTTTGGGTCATATATTTCTACTACATAAAGATATTTTATTTCACATTATTATTCCTATAAAGGGAGCAGTAAGCTATAACATATACTTCTGCTACATCTGCTGATGGATATGATGTACTAGGAAATGGCACATTTAAGGTAACGGCTGCAACCGAATCTAAGAACATCAACAACTATATATATATGGCCTAGCTAGGGGCACATCTACAACTTAACGGTATGTATATATATATATATGTTGTATAGCACAAGAAGTTAGCAACAGCTTTAATTTGTTACATCCAACATGCTACTCTTCAACTGGAAATGCATCGAGGAACTGTCTAATTGTAGCACGTTCCGTTTGAGTGAGGTCAGGATCATCGCCTGACAGCCTTTCCCGGATTGCAGCACTACTTGTGCTATCAGTGTTAATGTCGACAACCTATATATAAATATATAAAGACGGTTAACAATAACAAGAGATAGGATGGATTGACAAAGCGTATGTATGTTTTATGAAGTAATGGATGTTGAAAGGAATTATTATATATACCGCAAAGGCTCAAGTACTTAATCCTAATATAATGCTCATTAGAGAAAAACCATTTTTTGTTAATGGCTCTCGCTATGGCAAGATATAGGCACAAATAGACTATGGGAAGAACCGAAGAACAAGATATGCATCTTTTGATAAGCATATATGCATCAATTATCTGTAACGGGAAATAAATTAAATCGAGCCTCACTTTCACGTAGTTGTTGACATGCCCATCTTTGTTTGGAGAAGTAACGGGCTCAAAGCTATTGCACACCCACTCACCATCAACGATGTACTTGTACTCGTAACTTCCTTCCTGTTAAAAAATTAAGTCGAGGAATATTGACAATGAAAATATATTGAGCTTCTACCATAAGAAATAGCAAAATAGAATCTTTGATATATCAGTATGTCAAACTGCATAAGCAAAATAGCAGATATTTACATACCATTAATTTGGGAGAAGGAAAAAACAGTTTAATAAATATAAGCATCATTAATTATAATAGAAAATACTTTATACTTACTGGCAATTTCCTATGGAGAGTCCACGAACCTCGTTCTTCATCAAATCCCAGAGGTACTCTCTGAAAATAATTTCAAAAGGAGTATTTATAACATTCTTGCTCAGTGTTCTGGATAAGATCAAATGTAAATTACAATAAAAACCATAAATTTGTGGCAGTTGCAAAAATGTATTTCTATTTGAACATACTCATCCAAAGTCAATGTTCTATCCATCTTTAACATCAGACTGAACCCAGATTACTTATATTCATGCCACATCAAATGCTAAAAGAGACCACATCTTGAATAAGAATATATATATATATATATATATATATATATATATATATATATATATATATATATAGGGTCCCGTTAGGGTGAGAACACCTCTTAACGTGATAACATGCGGACTTCTTCAGTAATGCACGGTAAGTTCTTCATCAATGAACCACATCATCTACTACATGAATGCACGGTAAGTTCTTCATCAATGAACCACATCATCTACTACATGAATGCACGGTAAGTTCTAAATGATTGCACGAAGATTACTACATGAATGCACGGTATGTTCTACATGATTGCATGAAGATTAGAATTAATATCTCCAATTGTCCTCCGAGTATTAGCAATTTACCGGTTGTGGTCATTCGAGTTTTAAATGACCTCCAATGGTCTTCCATGTTTTAAAAAATAATCACCCGTGGTCCTAATTCTTAAAAAAACCCGAGTTTAAAATGACCACGGGTGGTTATTTTTTAAAACATAGAAGACCATGGGAGGTCATTTAAAACTCGGATGACCACAGCTGGTAAATCGTTAATACTCGGAGGACCATTGGAGGTATTAACTCCGAAGATTACTACATGAATGCACGGTACAAACCCACCCCACGCGTCAAATACACACACACGGAGTATAATGGACATGGAGAAATCAGACTGTGACTTTGCAAAAAATGAACCATGTTTGCCACCAGGGAAACTTGAGCATTACCTGGCCCCAACCGATATCAAGTCCAGAGATTTCTACATTGGAACAATCCTCACCATACCATGTCAATGTTATAGGACTCTTCTTCAGACCTGTAAGCTATAGCCAAAAAGATACTTCTTTTCAAGAATGATCAAAGATACGATTGTTAGAATTTTTGCGATCAGGGTGTCAGTGAGAAGTAGTATGCCACCAAACGGGAAACAGAATCTAAATTTTAAAGGGTGTCCTTTTAATTAATTTTGCATTTTTTTTTTTCATTCTCTATGTGGATCTTTTATGCTAAAGTTTAGCACAGCCTCAAAGTGACAGTTTTTGCAGTTTGGGAGGTAGGCACTGTGATCTTGTGACAATAAAACTAAAAGTACGGTGAAAATAAAGAATTTATTTCTTATTAGATGGAGAAGAGAAATGATAGATAGAGAAACTGTATCGAAACAAAGACAAAGAACCAGTCCTACACAGGCAAGGAAGGTGATGAAAATGAGGAGAAACTGAAAGCAAATTCGGACTCACAATATCAGCAGTGGCACTCTTTATGGCATCCAACTTTGGAAAGCATGAACGTCTGCTCTGTAAGAGAGACGGATTTTAGATATACTAACACAAGCAAACACAAAGTATTCCAATACATAATCAAATGAGGATAGAGAGAGCGAGAGAGAAAGAGAAACACTTACCATAAGCAAATTGTAAGCTTCGCTAAGTCTATATCCTTGAACCCAGAACATGTACGCCAACTGCAGTTCAAATAATCAGATAAAAGAATTAGTGCGATCTGACTTCTTTGCATGTCAAATAAATTAAAGATGTTCATATAATCAGTCTATTTAAAGTTCACAGAAAAAAATATCCATCATTTGTATCACGTGATTAGTTCACAAAAGATATTGCATTCCTTGAGGTAAGAAAGAAACAGATACCGCAACTGCAGGTGCTCTTCCAAGTCCAGCAGTGCAGTGTATGTAAGCTATACCGCCGTTTTTATTGATGGCCTTATGCAATTTGCTAACCACAGCTGGGAGCCGAATCCTCAAATCAAATGCATCAAAATCCCTGCTTCATCAAGTTATTGATAATCTTGCATTATTGCCAGGTCTCTTCTAAGTATTTATTCCTTTTCAATAAACAAAGTTGCTGGGGAAAGTGGGATTAAGAAACTGCACTTTATACAATTTCATATGATGCCTACCATCACGAAACAATTCAAACAATTACCATATTCTATTACCAACCTTATTTCAGCACGCACATGTTGAATGTCACCACATTTGGTTGCATACTCAATAATGGCACTGATATCAACCCCAAAGTATCTAAAGACGACAAATTAAGGACTTGAATAAAATGGCAGAGCATTGAAATATATAAAATTGGAGTTAATACCATCTAGGGTCCTCCGAGTATAGTGGTTTTGCCACGTTTAGTCCTAAATTTTCAAATTACCACCTATGGTCCTTCGAGTTTCAAATTGTTACCATCTGTAGTCCAAGTTAACCACCTATGATCCTTCGACTTTTAAAATTTAACCAGTCGCGGTCCTCCTAGAAGGACCATGTGTGGTTAAAATTTGATAGTTGAAGGACCTTGTGTGGTTAACTTCGACCACGGATGGTAAAAATTTGAAATTCGGAGGACCATAGGTGGTAATTTGAAAGTTTAGGACTAAACGTGGCAAAACCACTATACTCGAAGGACCCTAGATGGTATTAACTCGATAAAATTGTCTGGCAAGTGTTTGAAGATCAGAACTACTGTAATCTTTTGGATACTCAAGATCAGAATTTTGTTGCAAACAAAAAATAGTTTTCACTCCAATCTTGCGAAGCTTGTCCACATCCTCAGTCGTCTGTTATTGGAGGGATTATAAAAATTAGACAGAATATATTTCTGGAAATAATGGCACAAGGAAGTGTGCATCACCTGTAGGCATGACCCAACAATCAAATCTGGACGGATAAAGTTGTAGTTCATTCCCAACTCGTGCCTATAGGTCAAGACTGTAAAATAAAGTTAGAAAGAGAATGATTGGCAGCTAGTCAAGATATAAATGCTAAGCTGAAGCATGAAGCAGGTGTATTGATTAATACATGAAAAGATTCTTCATTAGGCTAATAATTATCCAGATTTCATCCCAACAAAAGAATGTCCACTTCAAGTACAATGAGTTAGCAGCTAACAGTTGACAATTTATACAGCAAAAGATGTCTATGAATCACTGTTATTTTTTATTTAGTTGGCAATTGACTCACCAGCTCCCATTGCTTTAGTCATATCGTGACTATACGTTTCAGATTTTTCCTCCACTTCAGTCTCTTCCTCTCCTATATCAGATTTTTCCTCCATTGCAGTATCTTCCTTTCCTATATCAGATTTAGAACCATATATTGCCTGAAAGAAAAATGGTGAAGAAGCATTAAAGATCCCTAATTGTGAAACAAATTTAGTTAGGACAGAATAAAAAATCACTGATAATCGTAAGCAAGCAGGGGGGAATCAAGTGGTTTGCTTTGATGTTCAGTTTATTTTACCTCTCAATGGAATAATTAGTTAATTATGGAGTACAACTAAATCGAAGAACTTAGACATTAATGAAAATCGAAGTCACTTTCTTTACCCTCAAAGGGCTGAAAGAAAGATT